GTGTCTTTGGGATGTTGCCGAGAGCCAGATGTTGGAGACGGTTCGTCTAAAGGGGATGCGTTTTCATCCTGTATTTCCCTTGATGACTCTGAGTCCTTTGACGAGGATATCATGTTAGACACTTCCAAGTCATCTTGAGTTGGTGTGCCACCGAGTCTGGACTCGAGTAAATTCACAATCCGTTCTTCAACATACGTTAGTCTGAGAAATGCGACTTGACGCCTGACATTCCGAGTCTCATACCTAGCTGATCAGGACCAATTCTTGTTTTTTTCTTGGGCTCGTTCGGTTTCAATATGCGTTCAGGTGTTTTTCTTTTGGTGGGAAACGTGCATGAACCCCCTGTCCGCTCACAAAGTCCACAGACCGGCTGGCTCATATCACCTTTTAGGAAAGTCAGCCTGTCCACCTTTCTCACACATACCTTCCACGCCGTGAGAAGGGTTTTTAACCTACATTTTGTCTTCTTCCTAGTGATTGTTAGACATCTTCCTAAGAGAGGCACCCAAGGAGGCGGCATAGGGTTCCTCCTGTTAGACGAAAGTCGTACCTTCTGCACTCGAGACACGCTCGGTGGCCTTTAACTGGAAGCCAGTGTTGGCTATCGACAACTGAAATTGCCGATATTTGCGCCATTCCCCCCGAGACTTTGGAAGTGGCCGCGTACGGATCGAACCGAAGACATTCCATTCTCTCATCCATGCCAAAGCCGATGCTCCCCTCTTTTTGGCAGACGCCGAGCTCAGTAGCGTGATCACCTTTCGCGATGATTAAACGTAGACGATTGTCGCATGGAGGAGTGCCGACGCAAACGCATAGCGCTTCTGGATGTTAATTTGTCCAGCCGGACAGCTTTCCCGGACTCCCAAGTGGAGTCGTCTCCGACAAAAGATGCGGGGAAGCTGGGGAGAAAGGCGAAGGCCACTGGAGGGGGCAAGGTCGGGTTGCGGATCTCGGGAGCATATTTCAACGATGACGTCAATTTGCTCCCGTCCAACTCCTGCTTCTACGGTATACGCAGCAGATAAACATAAGGCTGCTGTATATTCAAAGTCTGTCGAGAAGTTAGGTTCACGGTCGGGGACGATTTAGAATAAAACATGTTGTTAATGTTATGCTGCTGCTGGAATTACTAATTGATCAACTTCCCCGTTACTCACATCATCGATGCGCTCTCCGTCATCCACTTGCGTCCTGCCCTTGTTAGATAATAACTCAACCATATACTTCCTCTTTTCGGAAGTGGTCGCATCTGAAAAAGCACCCCCAAAGGCCAAGATGTCACTGAGAATAATAAGTGAAATGAAGACGGCCCAAAGTTCGATCGAACCATGTTGTCGACAGCAGTAATAGAGGGGGTCAAAGCGGCGTCACTAAGTCCTACGCAAGGCCGGCAATGCCGTATGGAATGCCGCGTGCCGTCCCCACAGCATGTGTTCAGATCGCGGTACTTGACGGCCATGCGGAGTAGGCCAACTACATCTGTGCCTCATTACTTCAGATGATCTTCCCCGTTCGGGCACATGGAGTCTTATCCATATTGACAGGCTCTGCAGCAGAGAATAAACAACGACAATCAAAGGTGCAATTTGCATTCCCAAAAGTCTACAAATGACGATGGAAAACGAATCAAGAGCCAATTATCAAGCAAACCAACATGCAGTCTCAGTCCTGATTGCAGGCGCAGGGCCATCTGGGCTGATACTTGCGCTGCAGTTGGCACGCTATGGAGTCAGAAGTATGCTGATTGAGCGCAACCAAGATACCACAAAATGGCCCAAGATGGACATCACAAACTGCAGAAGCATGGAGCTTTTTAAGAGCCTGGGCATTGATAAAGACTTGCGAGATTTCGGTAGGCTTCCGAAGCTTTCTACTGATCAACTTGGAAAAGGCGCTTACCTCACGGATCAGGAGTTCCTCAAAACTACTCCTTTGACGTTCTGTTCAGCACTGGTCTATCGGAAGACGGCGATCTGTTGTGCAAGTGGGTAGGTTTCCCCCATCTGCTGGATAGACCATCCATCATATTTAATAAATCATTCAGGATCTTGCGTCGCCTAATGCGTGGAAAGACCATATAAAGCAGCAGAACGACGGCAGCTATCCTCGAGAGCCTTACCAGCGTATCTCACAGGCCCTCTTTGAGGCACGAATGAAAACCAGGATACAGGAAGAGCCACTCATTGACCTCCGTTTCGGGTTCAAACTTGAGTCTTACTTTGAAACTGATAAGAACATTGTATCATGTGTCGTCGATGTCAATACAGGTGCCATTCACAAAGTTCAAAGCGACTACTTAGCGGGCTGCGATGGAGCCAACAGCCAAGTACGCAAAGACCTTGGTTCCAAAATGATAGGTGGGCCAGTGTAAGTAGACCAGGCAATTTGCCTAACGTTGATGATGATTCTTGTGCTATGCTGACATCTTCAGGCCTGGTGCGATGTATCTCGTTCACTTCAAGTCTAGCGACCTTACCGCGCTTCATCGTCAGGGGCAGTTCTGGCATATCTTCTTCGTCAGTGGAAGCGTCATCATCTCTCAAGATGAAGTTGACACGTGGACCATTCATCTACCCATCTCGCTCCACACGGATTGGAAGTTACTCGACCCACTGCAGTGTATATACAAAGCTCTGGGGGGAATTCACGCACCTTGCCCGATCAAGGTTGATCAAATACTAGTGAGCAGCTTTTGGAGGCCGAGCATATGCATTGCAGATCGATACGCGTCGGGAAGTCTGCGCGTCTTTATATGCGGCGACGCTGCCCACCAGAATATCCCAACGGGGGGATATGGCATGAACACAGCAGTTGGCGATTGTTTCAATCTGGGCTGGAAGCTTGCTGCCGTCATCCGAGGATGGGGCGGCGAGTCCCTCTTGAGATCATACGAAGCTGAGCGGAAGCCCGTAGCTCGCACTAACATCGAACGTTCCGGGGTTCATCACCAGGTTCACCAGGACTACGTGAGATGGGTGTCTCAAATGAGTGCCCGGGGTGCCACCCCTGATTTGGAAGTTGGAAGCGCTCTTCGCCAGCAGATTATTGATCACATCAATTCTCACGATGGGGAAAACAAAGATCACGGTATTGAGCTTGGGTACCGGTACAACGATTCTCCCGTGATCATTCCGGAAACGGCGACGACGGAGCCCGAATGGAATGCTCGGCAATATGTTCCCTCAACTTGGCCAGGTGCTCGGGCTCCCCACGTCTTCCTCTCGGACGGAGAAACGAGCACACACGATCTCTTCGGGCCCAATTTCACACTGTTTGACTTTTCTCGAGATGGGGTCTGGCTAGCTAGGTTCTCAGGCTTTTACAATGCTCTCAGCACTCCGCTCAAGACGTTGCGACTCTCTGAGGAAGAGCATGTACACAAGATCTGGCAGAGAGATGCGGTGCTAATTCGTCCAGATGGCCATGTAGCCTGGAGATCGCCCGAAGGCAGCGACCAAGTAGACATAGAAAAGGTCTTGAGAGTTGTTTCAGGCCATGCAGAGCCTGGATCGCAGCTGCCTTTTTCGAAGATTTAATGACGAGACATCCTCACTTGCGTATCATATTCTTTTCTCAGAATTCGGTGGCTCACAGTGTTGAAGGTTGATCTATGGAAATTGAACCCGCTATCGTCCCATCGATGCATCCAGTCCCCTAGAAGTTTAAGTTCAGTTCGCGTTTACAGATTTCAAGTTGTCTGAGGCCTATCACCGTTTGGATTCGTCTCCCAACCTACCTTGGTGGCAGATACTGGGCTTTGTGACAGCCTATTTCATCGCTATTGTTTCCCTTACGCGCCTCAATCCCCAAGTCTACGACGGTTGCATAAAATGGATACCATGCATAAATCTGGACCGCTCGGTATAATCTTACATAAGCTTCGATCTGTCTCACTCGTCACCCCGCAGTAGCGACGTCGCGCCGGTAGCGTCAGTGAGGTCTTCTTTTTCTCAAGCTCGGTGTCGCACAACTGGTGGCTGTTCGCAATCGCATAAGACACGCCTACTTGGAAAGCTGCTTGCTCTTCCAACGTGTTGAGGTATATTTGCCGGCGCACCAACTCATAAAATTAATCTCCCTACACTACCACCCCTCGGAATCGCCCCGCCCCCGGATTTGACCGCTTAAGCGCTGCCGTGTCACCAGCTATGACCAGCATCAACGTACGACTCGCACCCGGCGTTATCCGCCTCTATTTCCTCTGCTTTTATTTTGGGATTGGAGCTTCAGTCTGGGGGTGAGTCTGGATTTTTTTAAGTCCCTGCTACGAAGTCGCGGTGGTCCAAGACACAAGTGCTAAGAGCCCTATGTGTTCGTCTTCCTTCGTGGCTGTGTTGAGTTGTGGTGACGAGCCAAGTTTTGACCATCAGAGGAGGATTCTCGCAACACAAAACTAAAGAGTGTAACTAACGCTGTTGATCAGATACAACATTGGGATATTGTCATCTATCCTCGTCCATCCTGGGTGGAGGGAAGCCCTGGGTGACCCATCAAGACCGGTAATAGGTGCTATTGTCAGCGTTTATTATATTGGCACCTTGATCAGCTATGCCCTCATCTCTCATCCCATCAATGACTGGCTTGGGCGGCGCTATGCTGCTCTGGCCGGAACTGGGTTTGTTTGTCTCGGAGCCTTACTGCAAGCGACGAGCGGCGGTTCGACGGCGGGAGGCACCATGATTTCCGGCAGACTTTTCAGCGGACTTGGCGTTGCAATTGTTTCGACTTCAGTTCCTTTATATCAAGCGTAAGCTCAACCGTAAATGAAACGTTTGTGTTCAGTGGTTGATCAGACCCAGGGAAATCTCACCGGCTAAGAAAAGGGGACATTTCGTGACGATGAACCATGTTGGTTTCATCGCCGGAATGGCCATTGGACTTTGGTGCGTCTTAATTCAGGTCTAACAAGCATGATACTAATACCTAAAAGGGTTGGCTACGGCATGCGTTTTTGGCAAACCGATTCAGGCCATTACTATGGCTGGCGGTTATCTATAATGTTGGAGATTATCCCCGCCTTCATATTTGGATTCGGACTGCCTTGGATCCCCGAGACGTAAGTCTAACCAACCTAAGACTTGATTCACGTATAGTGCTCACCTTACTTCTGTGCAGTCCGCGATGGCTCGTTGAGCACAACCAAAAAGACCGTGCTCGCTCGACCTTGAGGAGACTTCGAGAAGGCATCTATTCCGAGGACCAAATCGAGGACGAGTTTGCTGCGATCTCTAAAGATGTCGACGAGTACCATAGATCTGGCAGAAACTGGCTCTTTCTGTTCAAGGAGAAGGCTCTTTTCTCTCGTCTGTGGCGCGCCACGTTATTGCAGTTCATGAGCCAAGCTTGCGGGGCATCGGCTATGAAGTATTATCTGCCATTCCTTCTAGAGAGCCTAGGCATTTTCACCCATGCAGCTCTCATGATTGGGGCTATTGAAATGACTGTGAAAATAGCATTCACTGTGCTTGAAATGTTCATCATTGATAGGTTTGGTCGAAGGAACTGCTTGGTTGCGGGCTGTATCGTAATGGCCATCTCGATGCTGGTAAGTGCGGTCCTGATCTCAAGACGTGCTGTACCGTCATTGCTGATGCTCTACGAAATCACAGATCAACGGTGCCTTACCGCTTGCGTATCAAGATAACAAAGCCGCAAATATCGTCTGCATAATCTTCATTTTCATCTACGCGACGGGATTTAGTCTCGGCTTTGGGCCTACAGTCTGGGTTTACAACACTGAGGTAAGTTTCTCGTGTTCATTGGCTGGCCAATTGCTAAGTCGAGACTTCAGATCTTTCCCACCGCTGTTAGGGCCCGAGGCCTCAACTTTGCCTCAGTTGGCAGTGCCGTCGCGTCCATGATCGTCAACGAGATTTGGCCCATCGGTCTAGCCAAGTTACATAGCAAAGTGTATTTCATCTTCATGGCTATGAACATTATCTGGATTCCGGTATGTACTTTTGAAAACTCTTCTTATTTCCTCGTGTATCTGACGATGAGCACTTGTACAGGTTCTATTCGCGTTCTTTCCGGAAACCAAGGGCAGGGAGCTTGAAGATATGGATGCCCTTTTCGGGAGTGTGGCTAAGCAGGTGTCAGATGCGGAAGATGGTAAGCGAAAATTGTAGAAACATCCTAGATTTACAAACTGACTGGTCCTTTTAGAGTCCGCCGGCCCATTACTTGCCGATGAGGAGCTATTTCGCAATTCAGAAGAGACGCCTCCATCCCGCGCGCGGGATTCGGACCGTGATCTCAGCCTCATACAATGATGGTACCACTCAGATAAACTGCCAACAATGGTCCTCGATGAAGAGACTAATCAGTCTGAATGGAGTGCCGTTTTCAGGGCTGTGAAAGCCAAGGGTTTTTGATGAAGTTTTGAGACCATCTAGCACGAGGCTTCACAGTAGGAGGGAAAAGTAAAAGGAACAGCCACGGGTGCATTGAAATGGATAGTGTAGCAAGCTCCGACAGGAGAGCAATGTAATTTGAAACCGAGTAGAATGTAGATAATTAACCTTTCTTCCGCTCAATATTAAGCGTATGTAATATTGAATACCTTAGGTCGAGAATCATATCTCGCGGAGCTCTTAGACATCATTGTTGACTCTGATGCCGTGGGATCCGCATGGTGGTGTCTTGTGTGGATACGATCTTGCTGATGGAATTTGTCAACGGCTCGTATGCACAGCGACCCTATCTCGTCCTCCTCCCTGTTAACGTCAGCTAGTTCTTAATTGTCGTATATGTGGAGGGTGCCCAAAGAAGGACATTTTTCGGCGAACATAACGTCCCCGCAAGGTCCACAAACGATGCGGACCAACTTCGACTTACCCCGATGACCACCGGAGATAGTGGGTATTCTCCGCGGGGTCTTTTCCGATTCCCGTTGTCAAACCCACTCATCCCGTCATCTTGGTACACAAAGGGCCTTTTGGAGATGGCAGATGCTGGCAGACCGAGCTTACTGGCTCTCCCGTGTTGGCAGCATGCCTCGGCCCCCAGCTGTGATCCCGGATATGCAGATCCGGTGCAACGCCGCGCTGCGCCAAGTCTGCATTATTCTTCAGCCAAATAAGCTGACTCCAGACTGCAAACTACCGGAGTGGTTCCACTTCATTGGTCCTTGCAGAAAGTAGTGCAAAGGCCATAAGTCTTAAAAACATGAAGGGGCCACTTCCACTTTCTGCTCTGCTTCCACCGACGGGTATATCTTACCGTGTTCCTTCACCCTCCACTCCGACATTCACTGTCTAAGTTCAACTTCGGAACAGCCAAAAGTAGCACACATGTCATCATATGACTCTAAAGAAGAAGTCCTCAGAACTGGGGCAACTGAGTATGTCTCATCCGGTTCTTCATTGGGATTTTGCTGACTTCGATCTATTCCAGCCCTTTGTTTGAGAAGGTAAATCCATTCACACCCCCTAGTGTATCCCACGAATGATTTCTGTGACTAACAATGATCACTAGCTTCTCAAACAAGGTGGAGAGGATGTAGTGTCCATGCTAAACTCAATTCATTCCGCCATGGTGATGCATGCCGATGCTGCACGCCAGCCCATTCCGGGAACCGCCGATACCGAATTTGAATTCGAGTTCAAGATTCCTACAAGGGACGGCTTCGAAAATCCGGCGAGAGTTTTTAGACCACAGTCGCAAGTTCCAGATCGACCAACAGTGATTCTCATTCATGGGGGTGGCTTCACCATTGGCCACCCAACCCATGTAGGCCACTACGCCAGAGCCATAGCAAAGCTGTTTGGAACAACCGTCATTAGCATCACCCACAGGTTCACCCCTCAAGTCAAGTTCCCAACGCCCTCAACCGATGTTTGGGACTCTCTGGAGTGGATATTGTCTGCAAACAACACAGCCAATGCCCCCTTGGGTGATTATACCAAGTCGAGCTTCGTCATTGGCGGGGTGTCCGCTGGTGCCAATCTGTCAGCGGTGACAGCCCAGAAATGGGTCTCTTCAAAGCAAACTCCTAAGCTGATTGGAGTCTGGCTGGCCATCCCTTGGGTTCTGGAGCCAGAAATTTTGCCGGAGCAGCACGCCGAGCTATGGCTCTCAAGGCAGCAGAACACCGACACGCTGGTCATTAACGCGGAGACTTTACGTGTCACTCGCGCTGCCTATCAGCCGGATGTCTTATCGCCCGACTTCTCTCCATTTAACGACAGCAATAGACACAAAAATATGCCACCGGTCTACTTCCAAGTCTGCGGGCAGGACCCTCTACGAGATGACGGCATCATTTACGAGAAAGTGCTCAGAGATCACGGAGTGTCGACGAAAATTGACGTGTACCCCGGTGTTCCACACGGATTCGCAGATTTGCTGCCAGAGTTCGAGCTGTCTCAGAAATACTTGGTTGATTCTGTGAAGGGATTCGGATGGCTCTTTGATGTTGAGATTACAGATGCAGAGTTGGCGCAGGCTTTAGCACCATCCTCTTGAGCAAAGTGCTGCAATGTTGTGTCGTCTTCTCATCATCTGGGGGTTCGGAAAGCCGGACGTGGATTCTTCAGCTTGATTGTTGTTCCTGGTTCTAACCTCTGCTCAACGTAGTGATACCTCTTACAAAATCAAATATCTGCTGCTCTAGGTTCACACACAAGAATTTTCCTGGTCACAATGTTAAAGTTGGGATCACCACGCAAACAAACCCAAGACGCGACATAGAATAGTTTAGGAGGATGAGGATTGAGCTTATTTGAAAGTGACATTGAGTATTTGAGGCCCAGGTCTATTGCGGACTTCTCAACAAGAAAAGACTTCGAGTGAAGTAGGGAAAGGAGGGCCACCAAGCAATTGTTGTGGCTGTTTAGTTCCTTGTCAGCCCTCGCTATTAAAGACGCCTGTCCCTGTTAGTGTGCTTTTATGTGGCGAACGTCTAGTGGGAATGGGCCGAGAAGTGCGTTATCCCACAGATATGAATGGCTGTTGCTCCTGCACGTAATATGGATCGTTGCTGGGTTGTTTGACTGTGTATGCCTCATTTGCTGTGTGAGTGATCAAGACGCCGATCAAAGACTGTCTTGTTCTGCTGACTCCTCATTGCCGCCAGCTACCCGGACTCAATCCAACATCTCAATGTATCGGCCTCATCGGTGAGCAACCGCACTGAGCCACTCTACGTATGGGATGTAGTTGACGAGACATACAACACCAACGCCGTTCGAAAGCAACTTGATGCCGTGAGGAATTTCAGTTCAATGTCTCACGACGATCGACAAGTCCTGACCATCAGTAAGGAAAGCCTAGAGTTGACAATTGAAGAAGCTCGCGAGGGCTCTGCATCGCAGAAGTATTATTCTGACCCATCCCTGACATGGTTCTACGACCGAGTGAACAACTTCCGGCGACCTTACATGCCGATAGCCTTATGCCCCAACTGTCCGGCCGACCCCTCTTCAGACGATGGCACTGTCGGTATTGTTTATGCGAGGCTGTTCGAAGATGCCATGAATGAACCACAATCACCAGCGCGCTCTCTGTAAGCAAACTATTTTACGCTCGCAAGAGTCGTGTATTATGATTTGATCAGCTCTTTCGGCCCCGACATAGACGTGCCTGGAGCGGATACAGCGAGTCTGGTGATATTCCAGCTGACATCGTTGCCACGGCGCTTTCGTGGATACTTGGCTGTGTTGGTTATTATTGCGGTATTTTTCGCCAATCTCGCAGCAGCAGCCTGGATCTTCCGCTCGACGCGCTTCAGTTATCTGGAGAACGCTTGGCACACAGTCGCACAAGTATCTGCAAGCCCGGAGCTGGCGGGTGTGCTACGGGAAGCGAAGGCATCAACATACGACGATATTAAGAGCTTCATGAAGTCGTACATGAATCAAGGATCCATGCGACGCTCTACTTCTAGTCTCGCGTCGTTTTTCACATTCAACTCCATCAGTCAAGCTCCGCGTTTCGTTGTACGGGATAGCACTTTCGTCCGCGCTGCAGGTGGTCAAGCAGACATGAAGTTGCGAGAGACGCAGTCAAGACGCCATCTCACCGGACAGAGTTCAGACCAAGAGAGTTCCAGATAGGCATATGATACGTGGGTACCTTACTGAGAAAAGAAAGCTGATTGTTTGTGGGTATCTTGAAAGCCTTTGAGGCAATCTTAATGAACATTATCATGAAATGAGAGTCATATCCTTGCTTGTATGTTGATCCGGCTCTGACATGTGTGTATTTCCGCTCACGGTAACTCGGCCACGTCTGGAACGTAATTCGCCGGAGACAACTCATATGAGTTCGCATGAGCTGCTTTATGATAGACCAACTCTGAATGCGATCTTTGGTACCTTGAATGTTTTTGTTCCATGAAGTCAGGCACAGAGCCAAGTGTGCTGTAGGGGTTTGCTTCAACCTTTGCAAGACCCTCTTCACCATCTGTATGCGACCTTTTCAAAGGAGGTTCCAGCTCCTTTGCATCCAGCACAGCATTTGGTCCCCAGAACGCAGATCCAAAGATGATTGCTGGATTCGATGACTCGCTCTGGGACCTTGAGCTTACTGACTTTGGTACCCCGGATCGATCGGCCGGCTTCCATAAGTCGATGGGTTCGGTTGAGGCGTGGCGCGGTTGGTGTGGAAGAGAGTGTTTTGGGTTTGGAGCTCGAGGGGTGGCAACTCGAGGAATGGTACAAGTCGACGGGTTACCCAAAGCTATTCTGTCGAAGTCGTCATCGAGATTGAACGAGGTCTCGCTTGGCAATGTGTTCAGTGATAGTGTCGACATGGTCCCTAGATTTGTGAAGGTTGGAGAAGGCGGAATCAACGTTGGCGCCTCACTATCAAGCGTTGCATTCGACGGGTTGGGGTTTGAAAAGACGTGTATGGAATCAGGTGAGAACCATCGACCGGTTGGTGTCTCCAGTGAGGATTTCGTATTAGACCGAGCAGGAATAGTCTGCACTGGGAACATGCCTTCAGCAGAGTTAACATGCCGCAAATTTGCCGAGGATCCTTCGTCTCTAGTCGTTATGGAGTCTGGCTTGATTTCTCTCGACCGACGGAAGTACCCAGAGAACTTTGAATACCGGTTATGACCTTCTTTTTCCAACTCGCCGGGCTCGCTCGGCTGGTCGGCAAATGCAGGAAGAACCGGCTGGGACATTACTGAGTCGCGGGCACTACGGATTGATGGGGTGGAAGACGACGAGGGGGCCAGCTGGCTCAGATGATCGAACTCAGTGGGTCTTGTCGGCGGTGAAAGACCAAGAGTTGAAGCTGTCGACGAATACTCCAAGACACTATCGCGGGTCTGATTTCCGTGTTCAAATGAAAGTAGTCCAAGGTCGTTCGACGATGAGAATGCCGTGGGCCTAGCCTGTGACATTGCTGGATGATAAATCGGGCCTTGGGGGACGGCTCGACTGGCGGCGTTTGGACGTGAAGTGTACGCTCCGGGAAATGGACCGAAAGGCGCCTCAAGTTCGCAGTATGGTTCATGGGCCACTGTGGGCGGATTGGCGGGGTTCGGGGCTGATGGATAGGTCGGGTGCTGAGGCGGGTTGAAGTGAGGAAAAGGCACGGTCGACTTTGGCGCGGCGGATACTGGCGATGTCAGAATCGCTGCTTCAGACGAGAAGGATGGTTTCTGATGCGAGTTCGTCCCTGCCGTTGATGAGAATTAGCAGCGACCTTAGATGATCATGGAAGCATTGCCAGCAAGCAAGCATAACTTGGGAAAACGGTTGCGGCTAGCCATACCTGAGAACGCCATTTCTCCCATGAGGCCACCGAGAAGAGCGACATTGTCGAAAATTTCAGTTCCTTTCTTGATCTCGGTGGTGATAGCCGGCTTCTGTTGTTGTAGCTGCGGTGCGAGAAGCGCCGTTTGCCTCAAGAAGTTCAGCTCCGACAACACCGCTGCATGGTGTCTGCTGATCACAGGTTCCTGTGCTCTGAACTCTCTCGAATCAAACAAGACCCATCCAACACGGTTCTTGAAGGGAACCTTGCCGTTATTGGCGTCAGGTCGGCACTTCTCGACAATCTGGCACACCTCGATGAGGCCTTTGTCTGCGGCGGCGATGATTTCGTTTACGCGGTTGAGTACGATGGGCGTCTTTTCAAGCAAGTGCAGGCATTCGTTCCGGATTTCGATCAGATGTTGAAGATCTCGATGGCATGTCTGTACGAGTTCAAGACTGCGGCGGACTTGAGATGTGACTTGGTCAACGTCGACACTGAAGAGAATGAGTTGGTAGGTCGTGTGGAGAGCAGACACGGAGCTGGTGATGGGATCCATGCCTAAAGCCCACGTTAGTAAGTGTCTACCGAAGAGAGTGGGAGTAATCGACGAGGCGCAATGACGAGGAAGCGGGGTATCTTACCGTCTGGCTAGAAGAGAAGTATACCAGCAGCGAGCGACTGCTCTCCGTCAGGTGTTCTGGGGGACAGAAGAGCGTAAACGGGCAAGTAAATCGGCAAGATCGGAGCCTGTTGGTTAAGGAGGGCGGAAGGCTTTGGCAACGGTCACTGGGGATCAAGACAACTCAGTTCTCAGTTCCTGGCTATGAATAGCTAGCTGCGTGCCTGGGGAGACCGGACGAACGATGGGCGATGAGGTGGAACAGAACGGAAAGCCACGGCTGAACAGATGGTGGCGCACTGCACATAACTGTTGTGGGCTTGTCTCTCTCTTCGTACGGGCAGACACCAGTGTTGATCACTAAGGCATGGTTCGTAAAGTCATCACTCTCAAGAACTTTGATGATCAGAACTGAAAGTCCAGGGGGCAAATGCAACCCGCCCTTCTTCCTCCGGAGGATGCACCCTCTTGGGCTGGACTTATCGTCACTTACATGCATGGGGATCGCCAGTATTCGGCACCACGGAGGTCGGCAGGCTCTACACTATGCTAGGGCGCTCAGCAACAGGCTTCCTTGGCGTGGGCCGATCCACTAGCTTGAGAGACTCAGCCGCTCTGCAGGGGGCTGAAGGGATCACGCACGCTTGACGCCGTTTCCAGTACGCCTCCACTGAACAAAAGAAAGCAAGCCTTCGATTGGAATTGAGGCTCCCGAGAAACCAATGGACTGAGATTAAGTTGTCGGCGGTGGGAACGGTTCGGGCTTGGGGACCGATAGGATCGTTGGTTGGGTTGAGAGTCGCTACAGCGCGGGTAGCCGCAGCCTGATTACAGTGTAACCTTCATGGTTGTTCCCATGCGTGTAGGCAACAACGTTGGAGGTAGAGAGCAGGCTGGACGGACCTGGGAACTGATTGTGGTCTTGACTCCTCCCAAAGTCATCTAGTCAAGTATCGATTTCGTAAAACTATCTTTGGTTTTTGTCGGGGTGAGTATGATCTCCCAAGACCATGATGCGGCCTCATCTTGAAAACCCCGTCGGTGAAATAGACAAACGGAAGTTGAGCACAGTAGCTCCGAAGTCAGCGCTAGAAGGGCCGGTGCCTGCGGGTACGGAAACAAGCAATTTATGGCCTACCCCTGCCATACAGTAAGCACTAGGTTTTCTATCGCACGCATCTCAATTCCTTTCAGCAACGTTCTTCACCCCTGGTGTCCGCCAAAAGCAGGCTGGGCTTACGGTTGCTCGAGGGCGGCGATGGCGTGGCGGGTTCTGTGTCGTTCGTCCCTGGGACATCCGAATTGATTGCAGAGCGAGCCGTTCGTGATATTGAGGATGAATTATGGATCTTGTTACTATTCTGCTTTGAACTTCAAACCACACTGTCTGTCTCCTTCATGCCAATTTCCCTATTATCTTGAAGATAGGCATGCCTTTCTCATCGGTTACGGCGAGGAACCTGTGTTACAACAGGTGCAACCACGCGACGAGGGGAGTTGTACATCTTGCCGTCCTTACTGGTGACCTTGTCCAGTCCCGGGCACACCACGACAGGTCGCGCACCCGACGCACCTGCATCTTCGGTCTTGTAAGTGAAGCGCCAATCACTGGGCTGAGACACGATCTCGTAGCCGAGCTTCGTGCATTCCAGGATCACAGCCTGCAGATGGTCCAGCTGCTGACGCTGGTTCCCTTGATCCGCCGGAACGAAGTGACGGAGACATGCGTTGAGTGCGGTGGCGAGGCTCTGTGCTTTGGGAGATGCCTCCGACTCATTTGGAGAGAGGTGAATACGCTGACTGCGATTCGGGTGGAGAAGGAAAGCCGATAGACTTCGCCATTGTGAAAGGGCCAGTGTAGTTGCTTCAAGAAGTTAGCAGACGGTCATTGTCCTGAAAGCCGAGGGGGAACTTGCCTTCTTTATCACCTCCACGCGACTCGACTGGTGGGATGGACTGGAGGAAAGACGCAATCGGTCCTGGCAGCATGGAGTAGCGGCTCTTCGCCTTGAAGTCTATGCTTCCAAAGACCGCGAGAGAAACGACGTGTTGGAGGCCAGCCTGTCTAGTCTTCGGATCTATGCAGAGCGAAGCAATTTCTTCCGTGCTGAACTTGGATAGTTCTCCCAATCCCAAGTTTGAAAGACTGGGAGCGAGGGCGTGGGTATCGATTTGGATCGGGTTTGAATGGTAGTTGTTCTCGACATGTTGCTGGATTAGCTCCCCGAGAGATTGCAGTTCGCCGGCCAACTCCTTGTCTGGCGTCGCGTCGAGAAGGAAATGGTTGATCTGGATGTTGTCGCTGTGGTTGGCGGGAGCTGAAGAAGCCAAGGCTTTGGACTCTGGACCGACGATGATGTGCCCCGTGTCGGAACTCTGAGGCGAGTATCTTCCACTCTTCCGCTTCTTTCGTCCGAGAAGCAAGAAGGCGATGAGACCACCGATGATGAGGCCGGCTAGCAGGCAACCTACGGAAGCACCGGCGATTGCGCCCGTCGATACTCCCGAAGATGATGGTTTGTTTGTCGATGTGGGTGATGCTGAAGGTGTTCCCGAACCGGGCGTCTCGCCATTGTCATCCACAGCTGTCGGGTTTGAAGTCGTTGAAGCGCCGGGTATAGGTGTAGATGATGCGGCTGTAAGTGCTCCCGAGGAAGTCGCATTCGACGATGAGCCTGCTGGATTTTGAGCGGGCGGTGTGGTTTGAATCGGAACAGTCTGAATGGTACTTCCGCCGTCCCATGTAACGGTCGTAAGTGTGTATCCTGAAGGCAGAGACGCAGCCATGCTGTTTGATATGAGATGAATCCAATAGCTTATGGTGACGACGAAAAAGAGCAGAGCAGAGACCGAAACTACCTGTGATGGGAATGACCTGGAGAAGTGAGTTGAGAATGGCTGGGCACTCCCAGCTCAAGTAAAGCCGACGAGGAGAACAGCCCCCTGTGGGAGCGAAGGATTTGAAAATTGACCTTCCATCCCTATGAACCACGCCCCCCTCGGCCGCTCGCAAAACGGCGGCATCTGGAGAAACCCCGGTCTGCTCACTATTAGACCAGCCGTATGCTACCTCGCGCTGACAGGCAAGGCCTGCATGTAGACACGGAGGTCTGGCAAACGCATCTGCAGTTCCACAAAAAGCCACAAAAAGACGGCTGTGTTGCGGATGTGAATTTTGTTAGCTGCAGCCTGGTTCAAAAGCAGGGGGGATGGTGTGGTGCGGCGGGACGCATTCGTGCCACTTCAACGCCTGGCGCGCCACGCTGAGCACAGAAACCGTCGCAAGGGAGTGAAAACATTCGCAGTCTTTGACCCTGTGCTTACTATTCCCAAACGGAATGATCGACGCGATAGCAAAAGATGGTGCCTAGAATGGCCTGCACAGCCTTGTCCAGGTTTGGGCGGCTCGATACTCATCGTTGCTTTTTGCCGTTGGCAACGGAAAGATGATGGCTTCCCAAGCGGGACGAGCTGAACTTGGAGGAACGCCGACCCCTGGTCCGATATCATTCTGCAGACTGCAGGTAAGCAACTCGCACGAGGCTGGCCGGCGGGTTTGTCTTAGGAAAGAGCTCCGAGGTAGCTGTTCTGCCAGCCTTCTCTCCCCGACACACCTTTTTCAAGCACATGAGACGATAGAAATCTGGAACTGCCAGATGACTTTGTGATCTTGACGCCTTCAAGACGCGGGCCTGCTGTCCTTGCCCGACAGAAGAGAATCGCGTTGAATGCAATTGACACTTGTCAATCACCATGAGCGAGAAACCGGACGTGTTGGTCTCAGTTGACCTCGGCACCACCTTCACAGGTAAGTTATCATGACAATGCGCTGCGTCGCCCACAGAGACTGACGCGAAAGAACAGGTGTGGCCTGGATGACACCCAGAACACCAATCCAAGTCATCAATGACTGGCCCGGCAGCGGCGATCGAGGCGAGCGCAAGGTCCCAACAGTCCTGACGTACAACGCCGACGGCAGCCTCTCAAAATGGGGCTTCATGTGTGCCGACGAGGAGGAGAACAAGCTGCGGCGCGAGTTCTTCAAGATCTTCATCGATGAGGATACCCTGGAGGCGTGGCAGCAGCGCGGACTTCCCAACGCGCCGCGCAACGTTGCCGAGGCGGAAAGATTGGTGACGGACTTTCTCAAAGAGGTGTACGCCCACGTCAAGGAGTCGATCGAGACGCAAGTTGGGAGGCAACACACGGGTGGCTGGACGGATATGGCTGTGACGTTCCTCTTCAGCGTGCCGACGACGTGGACCAAGATGGAGACCATCAACGCGTTCAAGAGAATCATCCACGACGCCGGGTTTGGCGCGGAAGGGTCGCGACACTTTGCGCAAGTCGACTTGACGGAGGCAGAGGCTGCTGCGGTGGCGACCCTGAAGACGAGCGCCGTCAACTTTCACATGGGGAGCTTGTTTCTTACCGTTGACGCTGGCGGCGGCACGACTGATCTCGCGGTGATGCAGATCACATCAACTGACCCGCAATATCCCCAGATGTCGCAAATATCGGAGGTCAAGGGCGTGGGCATTGGGGCGTCGCTGATTGATGTTGCGTTTATCCATCTCGTCAACCAGCGGTTGTCTGCGTTTCCGGACGTGCAGCGCTTTCTTCCCCGCGACTTCGCATTCAGGATGTCGAGGAGTCACCACTTCAAGACGGTGAAGCACAAGTTCGGGGAAAGGGCTTACATGCAGCCTGTGTTCAAGATGCAGCTGGAGGGGGTATCGCATGACTTCAACCATCCCGGGCTGAGAATCGTGGATGGGAGGATGTTGTTTACCATGTGAGTTGGCAGCGTCGTAAAGTTGGCCATGAAGAGTTGGGCTGACAGGTGATAGGCAAGAGATCCAGGCGCTGTTTGATGTCCAAATTGAGGGCATAATGCGCTGTATCAGGGAGCAGCTCGACAGGCTCATCCAGAAGCAGCAGCCGCAAGCCATCGTATGAGATACTCCGTACCCATTGGACAAGAAGAAGACTGACAACGTCAGGAATACATGGTATTATCGGGAGGGCTGGGCGGCTCAGCATATGTACGGGAAAATCTGCAACACCAGTTCCAGAGTTACTCGCACCAAAATGCAGAAAAGGTCGCGGTGATTCCGTGCCAGGATCCCCAGCTGGTGGTGGTTCGCGGGCTGCTCCTCGACCACCAGCAGAGGATGGAAACCGGGCGACTGTCGGTGTTGGCGACGCGGATTGCAAGGGCGAGCTATGGCGTGGTCATCAAAGAGGTGTACTCGCCCCAGATGCATTTCAACGAGGACATCCAGAATGATGCGTTCGACCCGAAGAAGAAATGGGCCGTCAACCAGATCCGATGGCTCATTAGGAAGGTGAGTCTCAAGGTTTGGTAATAAGAGTCTGGTTGCTGACGACGACATAGGGCGACATTGTCGATCCAAATGCGCCACTCGTACATTCGCTGGCGATTTCCCTCGGCGCCGGAGACACGCAGAGATCATGGGACGCGAACATTGTGATTTCTCACAACGAGCCAACCTTTCTCCCGAGAAGCTTGAAGCACGGTAAGTCGACACGCAGATCGCGACATCGATCGCGAAAGGACTCGGGAAGTGACTGACGTCTTGGACCAGCGGTTGCAACGAAGCTGTGCGACGTCAAGAGCAACTTGACCGGCGTCCAGCAAAACCAGCTCGTTCTCAAACACAAACGTGGAAGCTGCTTCTCCAAGGGAACAACATATTACATCTTGAACTTTGACGTGCGGGTAATAATTGCGCCGGCCGATATCCGATTCGAGCTGTGGTTCGGCGGACAGAAGTTCTCAGGGAATCACGAGCCGATTGCCGTGACGTGGGATGAAGACGGAGTAAAGGCTGGCGGAAGCTGATTGACAGTCGAGGGAAACAAGCTCGCATGTGTGGATGTCGCTAGCTGGTATTAGTGTCGTTCACTGGCATGGAAGGCCGATAAGCGACGGGCGATGATCCGGGCCAGGCAACGGAGCAAGACAGGGAGGGGGGGGGGCCGGCGATGAGGTAGTGCATGGCAGATACTGAGGCCAGCCGTTGAACTTGCAGATGGCCAAACGTGGGGTGCAGATGGCGTTTTGACGTTCACCGCCGAGGACATGGTGGGATGAGTGTCTCGAAATAATCACGCGACAGCGTCATCTCCTTGGTCACAGAGATAAGCCGACAGGCGGCTAGGGCTTGACGGAGCGCAGAGGGTGTGTGGCTGCCGGGCATGAGACACCCCCAGGAGATGCAGGGACACATTTGAAGATGAGAGGCATGATCTTTGGTTGTATCAGCGGTTGAATGGAGCATCAAGGGGCATTTGACGGGCAGTTGAATACGTAGCAATGGCAGTAGAATTCTGAAGTGCTCATTTGAAAGCCTTCTCCTGAATGTGTAAGGTCGAAATTGGCTGGATAGGCCCATGACGAATGAGTAAGCAGGCTCTGCAGTAGCATGATGTATGAATGACAGGGCTGGGCGAGGGCGCTCGGAGAAGCGCGAGAGAGATGTGTGGTGTGGTGTGGTGTAATAGGAGATGGATGGTGTCTGGCTGGGCTGGGCAGGGCAGGGCCTGTCTCTGTGAGGGTGCCAAGCGTAATGCTTGGGTCGGCAGTGGTTGACACGTGGATGGGCGGCGATCGAATGGCAGTGGAATGGGATTCTGGAACCTTGGGACCTGGATCAATTTGGGACGTTGAGTGCAGCGCAGCAGGCGCTCAAGCCCGTGAGGCATCATAGCTCTGCAGGACGAGTTGCGACGGAGGGTGTGCATGAAAGGCCGACGGCGTGGATCGATGGAAGATGGTTGAAGTGGAAGTCCCGAGAGGGTTTTGGGGGCGATTTGCGGCTTTAGAGGAGCATTAGGCGGCAAGGGGCCGCGGAGGGTGAGATGAGACAGGAGGAGGACGTGCTTCGGGATATTGTGGGTGTGGAAGGGGATGAGATCCATGTGGGATGAGTTGAGTTGAGTGAGGGAATGAGAGATGATAGGGGTTCGAGACAAACAAGGAGAATTAAGGATAGACTGACTGGTTGGCAAGTGGAAAGCCAGCGGTCCGGAGCAGCTAACAAATTGTACGAGGCTTGCTGACGGCTAGTTGGTTGGTTGGTTGGTTGCGGGAAGGCCGGGACGACCGGAAGCAGCATCTTGGGTCTTGGGCTTCATGATGAGTGAGGCCTGAGATGGGAGAGAACTGAAGTCTTTGATGGTGGTGTTGTACATTGAGGCGGCCTTAGGTAACCAAGGCTGGGACTTGGGATGAGGTACCGACAGGCGATGCAGTGAAGTTCCAATGCCCCTCATGGCACTTCGCCAACTCACTAACAACTTGCCTACCGCCGTAGGTCCCCGAGGCTAAGGTAACCTAACAGTCAGATGCAGCCACAGGACGCCATCCAAAGGCTAAGAGCATCAAGCGCCGTGCCTCAGGTTGTGGTTCACAACTAGGGAAGATGCCAGCTGGATGTCCAGCGTCAATTGGCAGAGGTGCGGTTGCAGTGAAGCCACAAGGAAAGGTGCGAATACAAGTAATGCCTCACGATATCGGCAACTGAGTGTGTGAACGGAGAGCAAGCAACCTGGAAGTGAAGGTGAGAGAGAGAGAGAGCATTGACAGCGCGCAGGTTCGGTCGGGCAGTGGCCGTGGCAGTCCTGCGTACTGCGGGACCATGTACCGTTCTGCGGGGCAAAGGCGTGGAGGGGTACCTCCGCACACGGTGAGAACAGCTCGGGGAAGGTGGAAGGTGAGGACGTGGAGGGGAGGGGTCCCGCCTGGCCCCACCTTCCACGCCAGCCTCTCGCTCCCTCAGTACCTACCTAGGTAAGGTAGGCACCTATCCAGTGTCCCCTCCTCATCCCAGCTGCCTGTCACAGGGCAGCAATGACATGTAGAATCAATCTGAGCGCTTTCCCATCCCCGATAATCTAGCAAAAGGTAAACTCCAGTCAGGACCTTAAATAAAAGGACGGGAGAGAAATGCTATGCTGAACCGCAGAGCCCACGTCGCATGTTCAGCTGCCCAGACCAGCCCGGGCCGGTCCTGCCAGCGATTTCGGTCCAGACTGTGGCTCTTTCCGCATCCACCAGGGCCCATGTACCGTCTGGCTGTGACAAAGTACCCGTGCCGCTCAAGCCATACTGGAGCCCACCCACCTCTGGCAAGAGTACATCGGGAGACATGGCCCTTCCTGCCTAACGTAGAGCACTGTTCGGTTCGCTCGTCTCTGGTCTGGAAAGCACCACCTCAGCCCGACGTCTGGATGTACCTGACCTACCTTACCTGACCTCAGATCCGGATTTCCTCTTGGGCCCCTCCTGCCTTGATTCTTGGATTCAGTCGTGGTTTGGTGGTGTTCCCACTGCCTCCTGTCATATCCCTTTCCACAATTCTTTTTTAATGGTTGTTGATCTTTTGCTGCTCGCCTCCTGTCACCTCCACAGTCCCGTCGTCCCTCTCTGCAGACGTCACATCGACTTGGCGACGGCGTCACTGCACCAACCCCAACCCAAAACCCAAACCCACGCGACATAGAAGCAGAAGCAGAAGCAGAACAGAAGCTGTCTATCAGAGTTTGGCCGCCCAGCGCACCAGCCACGCACGTACGACAACAACCGCCGCACCGCCCGCGGGTCTGGTGCTGTCTTCCACTGGCCTTCACGGCCTCCACCCCTTCCCCGTCCGTCAGGCCCCGTCACAAGCACAAGCACAAGCACAAGCACAAAAACAAGCAGGCGGGCGGGCGGGCGGCTGGCTCTCGGGTCACAAGTCGTGGCGAGACATGGACACACTACCCACGTACTAAGTGGCTAAGGCAGGAGGCACTGTGAAGTGTGAAGAAGAACAACAACAACCCAAGGCCCACAGTGCGTCTGCGAGATGCAGACTCAGTACCTGCATGCCACGCCTCAGCTGGCCCTGCGTCCATGTTCCGACCTGAGGAAAAGCGAGAGTGCCTGAAGGAGGGTCCTGAGATCCTAGTTGGCACATCGGTGGTGACTGCCAGGCACCTACTGTGCAGTAGTGCATACGAAGTACCGTCTGCCTCCAGGTCTGCCTCTCTCTGCCTGTGAAGGGTGCAGTTGCAGTAGTTGCAGGTGCAGCATTGTGCAGTGCGGTGGAAAAGTTGGAACGCAACGCAACGGCGCAGCGGCGGTGCTGGGAGAGACGATGCAAGTACCTGTCCTCCTGCTATCGCTGCGACTGCCGGCTCACCAGGACCTCCCAGGCTCGCCGAGTACACGCAACAACACTGTGAACTCGATGCTTTCCTCCCACCTCTCGCTCTTTTCCGCTTCTCATTCACCGTCCATCCATCCACCCATCCAATTCCCAGTCCCGGTCACAGTCCTGGTCCCAGTCGCTGCTGCCCTGGGTGTGTCCTCCTCCCCCCCAGTCCCAGTGTCCAAATACAGCCAGAGCCAGGCCATGCCCCACCAATACTGTCCGTCGCACTGGTAGGGTTGACGGCAGCCGGCGCCACGCCCCAAATTTACACCAGCGCACTAGACCCCGCTAGTCCCTGGCGGCTCTAGCTCGAGATCTACCGGCCAATGGAAACAGGGTGGCGAACTCGCGTATGGCGTCAAGCTGTGGAGCCACAGTGTCGTCCGCCAGAGCACTGTCCTCTGATCATCTCCCATTGGGCACCCTGTGGGTCCACCGCCGCCCCCCCATCCCTCCCACTGCCCAGTGTGCTTCCCGGTCTCCTTGCCCTCCGTGCCCTCCTGCACCTGTCCACCCTCCTCCCACCCTTTCGACTGCCTGCTCGATCCAACAAAACCATCGCTTGCTCCGGGTTCCTCTCTCCCGATACTTTTCAACATCTCTCTTCCCCCTCCATTTTACCGTGCCTACTTTCCGCTCACCTCGACCACCAACCATTTCACTCAACATCCACGATATACACATACAACAATTTCACACCTCCCAAAAAGACAAAAGCATTGCTTGATATCACCAATCTATATCTCTTCAACACGCACACACACTTTTACTCGCACTACGTTCATCGACTCGGCGGGTTTCATTGTTTGTGTTTCAAAACTGCAATAATACCGCAAAGCTCGGCTCACCCACATAAGACCACCGCACTTCCGCCACACACCGCACACTCACGCACACACTCCGCCTCCCCCAACCAACAAAACGGCACCGCTTCTCCAATCTCCAACCACGACGACATCTCTACACATCTCCGATACACCCCGACAAATTCATAGATAATGTCTTCATACTACCAGTTCAACCAGCACGCGCATCCTACCCCTGCCGTCCCTGGCGCCTCCCACAACCACCACGGCGGCCGCAATCGCAGACAGCCCAGGCTCTCCGTCTCCCAAAATGCGCACAAGCAGTTCCGCGGCGTTCGCAGCATGAAGGAGCTGACCGAGACCGCTTCCATCAATGTTTTCCGCACCAAGTTCGAGGCTGGCCGCTCGTTCGACCTTGAGGACGACATGGAGTTTTGCCCTGGCCTGTTGACCGACAGCGACGTAAGTGACTCGGAGCCTTGGATCTAGGTCTCCTGATCCAGTGACTAATCATGGTCGCCTACTGCAGATGCACTCCATCAGCGCCTCTGAACGCTCCTCCCTGGCGAGTAACTCCCCGGAGTCGTCGCCTACGCAGCAACCCCAGACGGTTGCTCCCGGCTTCTCCCTCAACTCTTCCTCTCCCGCCTTTATTCCTCCCGCCTACCAGCACCAGAGCTTGAAGATCCACCAGCCGTCCGCTACCCGCGCCCGCAACGCCATCCCCATCGTCAACCCTGCCACGGGCATCCAGATGTCCAGCCCGCCGCCTTCGGTATCCCCCGCCAGGATGCAGCAGGGCATGCGCAGGTGGTAAGGAAGCCGCCTCTCGCTCTCGTAACAGAGAGTCGGGGTGTGCGCCTCCTGCCATCTGCACCGACGCATGTTGTTGTGTAAAACTACTGCTAATTCGGCAATTTTGCTGATCATCTTGGTGGGCACCGAACAAAAAAATTTGGCATCGATGGCTTCTCTTGCGGGCTGGGCACCTCAAGGTTCTGGGCGGACCGCTGGTGTGGTCTTGCTCTTCTGTTGGCTCAACATTTCTCCTGTATAAACAACCTCACACGACATACCCTTGTTTAAGCGGCAAAATTACTTCGAGGCTTTACACGGCGCGACACGAGAAGTTATCGATACCATTTTCCTTTTTTTGGACTTTCGACTACAAAAATTCGACAAAAATCAATTCGGTGTCCTACCTCTCAAGGTGAGGCTGGACTTGCACGAATGGCGTTCCCACACGGGTGATTTTGCATTTTTACGACATTGCATCGGTGCCTGATGGCACCTCGGCGGAGTTCTCGGATATAATTAATTATCGGCATCTTTTTTCACGGACAGCGGGGACGACTTCCATTTTTTTGATTTTCAAGACGATTTTCAAAAATATCAGTTGCTCATCATGGTGCTCGACGGGTCACGAAGTCATTCCGAAAAAGATTATCTCGACATATAGAATGAGTGTCTTTTTACAGCAACTTATTCGGAGCGGGGGTAACGGGTGTTTCTGTTATGGGCTCACAACATTGGGAAATATCAAATGGGCGGTGGCGGGCAAAGAATTGCGTTGCTATTGTTTTGCGGCAAATCTCCAAAGCTTGGAAACGGGGTCCGGGAAATACCTTTGGGAAAAGGTGGAGTTGGTCATGGTTTCGGTCCGGGTGGTCTGCTGGCGGTGAACCTTCCCGGGAAGGGGATCGGGCGGCACCCATTTGCTTTGTTGTGCCTCTTCTCTCATTATTTTCATTATTCGAAGATGGACCATTCTCATCTGCTGCTTGGTCTTCCTGGGAGGGTCTTTTCTCTTGTCACGGGGTTTACAGGCATCTCCAGGGACATCGGGGAGTGTTGGGCGGTGGATTCTCTCGCACCTTGTCTGGGAGCACTTTTTCGCGAGCATATTTTGGAGACGTTGTGTTGTTTCTGGGGAGCAGGCATGACACGATAAATGGCTCTTGTGGTTTACTGGGTCTGGAGAAAGGGATACCTCTTTTGGGTGGTTGTACAGGAAATGCTCAAGACGTGAAAGGGTGTTCAACGGGGGAATCAGACCTGAAGTGTCGGATCCCATGGCGCGAAGCCAGCAAGGCGCAAATGCAATATACGATATCTTCATCTCAACCTCGGTGTTCTCTTGGTGAAGTGATCGAGCCTTGCGCTGAGTGATAACGTACTCCGCCCCAACGTGCATGCGGCTGCGAGAAATGCTATCTTCGCTAGAGGATTCGGAACACGGGCGATGTCAGCAAGCGTTCGGTCCTCCGTTGGATGATGAGGTTCGGATTGTCTTCGCTGGCCGACGACCTTCGTTGGCTCGGGACTCATGCACAGAAGCAGGTAGGGAAGAAGAGTCAAGACATTGATACCCCACGGCCCCCGCGCTTACGCTACATTACGCATTTCCCATAGAGGTAACTCGAAACCCGCAGCTCTTTCCCCCTGAGATCTGGCAGCACTCCTCAGTTCATGCAGAGCAGATAATGCGGGTGATATGAGACGTTTAAATTGAACAATCGAATATTGCTACCGTAATATGCTAAACTGTACGTCCAACCCACCCCGCCCCCTTTTTCCCCCTTCTGGATGGCAGTGTGTTTGTTGAGAGGGGCGGAGCAGCTGAGTGAGGGGTAGCGTAGCAAGCTCAGGCGGAAGGGGAGTTGTGTGGCCCTGTCTGACTCTCCTTGTGCGAGGACGAAAGGAGACTGAGAATCTCCCCCGGTTGCCCCGAGCTTGCGTCTTGAACAATGTAGCCGCCGGGGATGAGACAGAGACAGAGACGGGCTGGGTATGCGCATATCTAGGCTGGGTAAGGCGGTCTGTAAGGTAGGTCACCGCGGCCTGCTGCTACCGTCTTTGCTTCTTCTTCCCTCTGCAAGCTGCCGGCAGGGGCTGGGCGTGGTGAGGCAAGCAAGGGGCGGCGGCGGGGGACGTGGAGGGAGTGCTGGTGCTTGCCCCTGACAATGGGGAGTGATATCACGTGACATGACGCCTCAGCTGAAGAATCTGTCCCGCTCTTGCAAGTCAGCTGTGCTTCGTGTTACGAGGACCTCTGCGGCCTGGCCACTGCTCACATGATTTAGTCACGTGATCATCTCCAGCCAGCTGCCACAAGCTGTTAACGCCGAAGGCCAGGGGGAAGGAGGGGCTTGCAAATTGCTCAAAGGCAGTTGGGCAGGGTGGAGGACAAATCAACTCCACCTGTTTCCCTTTTCCGCATCCGATGGTCAGCAAGGCAGGAAGCACAACATTGGAGGGAGGAGCTCGGGCCTGCGGGGACACACCTCTTGCCTGCAAATGGATGTCACTTGCATGGAATGGGTACAGGTAGCTGCGATGATAGTGACGTCAGTGCTTTCGGGTAAAAGCGATGGGAAGAGCTCGTCTTTGCCTAGGTAATGCAGCAGCAGCAGAGCTCTTTGATGGAAAGCGCATCATCGTCATTATCGTGGAAATCACATTCCTGTCTCTTTCAAAAACTAACTCCCTCAATTTTTTTCTTCTTTTCTTGCTCTAACACCTACTGGATAAGTTCAATTGAAAGGAATCAAGCCTGCAAAAGTAATACCACACCACAGAAAGACGACAAAACGAAATAGACACAATGGCTTCCCGCTTCGTCCTCGCTTCTACCCCCATCGCCCGCGGCGCTTTCGTCGTCGGTAGACAGACCGCCGCCTTCTCGACGACGAGATTCATGGGCTTGAAGGAGTCTGCGAACCGTAAGTTGCCTCGAATTCCTTCTTTGCGCCCCAATTGTGTGGATAGGAAGAAGCCTTGCCTGTCACGATATTGTGACGAAGCTGCCTACCCATGATACCCCACCCGTTCACGACATCATCACTTTATCCCCAAACCATCAAAAGCCCAATTCCCATTCCCAATCAGCCCTCCGTCCATCACCTCTTCAATCTTTGATACTAGAAAACGAACCTGAGCTGACCATCCCCCCACAGAAACAGAGACCGACCACGAGAAGCACAAGCAAGACTCCCTGCACAAGCAGAAGCAGGGCAAGGGCCACTGGAAGCCCGAGCTCGCGTCCGACAGCGAGGAGGCCGTCAAGGCGGACCGCGCCACCGAGGGCGTCGACCCCAAGACGCTGGCGGAGCGCACCAAGAAGGCTGCCGAGGAGACGAGCAAGGCCGGTACGAGCATGCGCGACGGGTTGTAAAAACGTCGTTGAGGAAGATGGATGTTTTGTTTGCTTATTTGCTTTTTGTGATTCCAGCTTGAACGCCTCCTTGTCACATGCCAACTTGTATGGTCTTGACAAGGCCTGGTACGCTTCTACCCCATGCCATGTGCGCGCAACGGCGAACAGGATGAGACGCATAGAGTATACAGAATCACATGTGAGAGACGGCTGTATGGGATTGCTGGGCTTGTTATGAAAAGATTGCATGCGGATGGGGACGGGGTTCTCGGGCCGGAGTAATTGTATGCATGTTAGGCCTGGGTCTGGAGTTGATCAGTTCGAACGACGCTATATGATGTGCTTGGTGATTTTGTACTTGCAGCAAGTGCTTCAAGGCCCTGAACACGCTCAATTCGTAGCTCACCCTTAGCCAGCATTGAACTTCAATAATCGACGGCTCCGACTCACACAGAGGCCCAGCTGTATAAGTCAGTGTACACGATGATAACCTAAGTCGAGGACCAATTCGTTGTCGTAGAAAAATGTTGCCCTGACAAACAACGCCAAGCACGGTTGCCAGGGTGCTAGAAGTTATCACCGCAAGTCAATGCCACAAGGATGGGTCTCAACTCCAACAGCTCTCCGCTCCGCAGCCCTGGTGTATGAAGCTGGAATACACAAGCAGCAAGACCAGTGACTGACGGCAGCCATGCCCAGCCAGACCGACAGTATTGAATTGGAAGAGATACTGGTCCCCCCCCCGCCCCCCCCCCCGTGGAGTTGCACGATCTCTTGACACAGCGCGTGACGGGTTCGACTGTGGCGTATTTCGTATGGATCATAAATCATGACATGTGATTACCCGCAACTTTTATATCTCCCCTTATAGAGATGGTCTCGGCTTAGAGGACTTTTTGCTGCGGATATATTATGCCGCGGCAGAAGATTGATTGGCCAGACGACAAGAATCTGCACCGATGGACGCGGTTTCTCTCCTCCAACGTGGCGCGAAAGCTTTGAACGTCTGAATCTTGTCAAGCTACACATACCAACAGCCGTCCCAATTTCTCGATCCAATCGTCCGGCGATGACGGTATCCCCTGTGTATCCTGCGGTATAAGTTCTGGCCAGGCGTCAGCCTTAGTGTACAGTCCATAGTCTAAGACAAACCTATTTCTCCCTCACAAGTAAGGTCCTTTCTTCATGATTGCAAAATGAACTTCAGAACACTCTATTGCGGCCTCGGATAAAAAGAATGTCTCTGTGGTACGCTTTTATACAGCATGGGCCGAAGGGTCTGCTGTCCGGTTCGAACTCGTCATTCGATGCGTCCAAAGGTCTTGCAGTAATATCCAACCAGGCTGGGAATCACTTCACAGGCACTATAAAGCCTTACTGGAAGTCTCCAGCTACGCCTCCAGCAGCCAATGTAAGTCTCTCAACATACGTTCGGTCTGGAGCGTTCAAAAAGTGAGTCCTCCGTCGCACAGCTGTGAGCTATATTCCAGGATCGAGTCTGAAACCCGACGAGAGGTTAAAGGACAACTCTCGTCGCCTTCTTCTTCTTCTTTTTATTCTCTGTGCATACACGAATGCTTCTTGTCTCTTCCTATGTCTACCATGACAGACTCGCAGGTCCTCGTGCCGGGAGGAAGGGGATGTCCCGCATCGAGATATTCGCCAGATCTTACGATTCATCACCGGCGTCTACATCACGGAGGACCAAGACTAGGATTGTGAATCCACGGTCATCTCATGCATAGCCAGGTTATATCATGTAAGATGTGCGAGGGGCTCCTCCCAGACTCTTTTCAGCATGGCCTCCGGCGTCTGCTATTCTAATCGTCAAAGTCTATATTTTGAGGGTGACCAAGCTAGAACTTGTTCACCCAAGCCAAATCATCCTGCCGTTGTGATGTAGATTGCTGGCTGACGATGACTTGAACTTTGGCCATCACGTTGATTATGACTGGGATACACGCCAACCACGAAATTGAGACCGCGGCTCCGTCCGTCGTCGTCGTTATCCCCGTCGAGCTATTGTTATGTCTCCGGAGTATCAGAGCGCTGTGCACATAGCGCACGTTCTTTTCTTGAGACTTCTTTCTACTTTGATTATAGATTGACATGCCACGTAAGACACCTCGGTCATCACAACGTGATGTGGTTGCTTAACCAGCATATCTGGCAGTGCCATTATCTCCGAATGTTATCCCTGTTTATAGATGTCCCCAGGGGAGGGCATGCGCATGTCACAATCACAAAGCTGGAGCTCTTTCAGGCATGTCTGTTCCCCTAAACGTATATATATAATTCTTTTGTGGGCAATGCATTCTCTGGAAAGACGAGCACAATGCTTGTTCCCTGTCTATCCCTGTCACAACTTCCGGACTGGACATTCATCAGATGCAAAAGACCTAAATGGGTCGGGAACTTCTGCATGAAGCTTCTCTGGCAACGCAGATCTGCCTTCTGTCATCTTTGGATGTCCGTCACTGTTACTCGACTGAATAATGCATGGTATGCAACTTCACAAAACCCTCCTTAATTCGAGAAGGTGAGACGCCCCTGGCATTGATAGGCCGTGCTGCGTGTGTCTTGGTGACTTAATGACAAGCTCCTAGCAGGCTGGAACGCATGATGATTGGTGAAGAGCTATCATTTCATGAAAGGCAGTGAAGTGGAGGCAGGATTGCTGTTTACCAAGTTCCAAAGAGTGAAGGCAAAGCCAGATCTTTAGATAAATAGCCTACAAGGCTGGCAAAAGCATCGAGTCCCCTCCCGCCTCGTGTTCTTAGCATATACCATGGGAGCACTATGCCTACAATCTCCCTCCGCCAGCGTTAGAGTATATTTTCTTTGAAGAGCACGACAAGATCACCTCTCTAAGCAATTGGCCATTTCTCGAGTACAATTAGTTCATTCAAGCTTCTTTCCTTGGTCGAGCCGGTTCCACCGCCAAAGCAAACACTGCAGGCCGAGAGAGTCGTCCAGCGCAGGGATTTCTCAACCCCGCCCACGCCAGTTAACTCCATACGAATACGCAACATCAAAATAGACCCCAGGGATGTTCGAGAACACCACCTGTATTCGACTGAAGCGAATTCAACACGACAAACTAGGTGGCAGTAGGCCAAGATCTATTGAAGGGCAGCTATCGTTGTTGAATGGAGGGCAATCTTCATCCCCAGAACCATCATCATTTGTCTGCTGTACGTTTCTACATGTACGAAACGTGATACCGTATTTATATTGGTCAGGATGTCAAAGCCTCCACTTTGGTGATCCAGACAGCCCATGTCGCTATGCGAGCACTCTCAATTCATGACTGGGCGTCTTTGCGAAGCCGACATGATGCTGCCGGAAGTTACTGCATAGCGCGGAGAGCTCTTCACCAATATTTCGTATAAGTCGAGCAATTCGTTCAGAATCTTTGTCAAAGCACCATTGAGGTGTTTCCACTCAACTATCGCTTTTATCACAGCACTCGATCTGCCACCAAGCGCAGAGATATCCTAGCTTCATGTTTTCTCAACCCTGACTGTTCAAGATGCTGTCTAGGTATCGAGTGAAATATGTGAATACCTTCAGAATAAAAAGATCCCGATACTGGACGGCGGCAGTAGCAGTTTGAGACGAGATTCATCGAAGCAACCGGGTTCAAGTTCATTCCTTCCTTGATGAGCGGGATTCTCTTCAGTATTTCAATGCGCAACGATTTGATCCAGACATTTCATTTGCCCCTGTTGAAGAGAGTAGGCAGCCATTGCGTAGACTTATATAGTCGGCTTGCCCGGTACTAGTGGGGGGCGTTCACCACATTCCGAGATGTACTGTCAACCCCCGTTAAGACTCACGACTTGGTTCGACCAGATTTCAATGCAACACGCTGTTCAAGATCTGACAGTCAACACTCGAATCAATGCCATTTTTTCCGTCCTCTACGCCAGAGCCTGAGCTCTCCTCCCTATAACCCACGCTACATTCTCCGTAAATGCGAACCCGCCCGCCCAACGTCACCAGGCGCCGCCATGGGGTTACGCCCGTATAATTAAAACTACAAGAAACACCATGCCAAAACGCCAGGTATGACCGCCCGCTCCCCAGGCGATCCCCATATATCCCTATAAGGTGCTGTGCGATTCAGGGGTAAAACACCATGACCCCCCAGAACCCCGCCTTTTCCACGCACACTCACAGCTTCAAGTTATACGTCCCCGCCAGCTTCGGAAACGTCTGATGAAACGCCTGTCCCAGCGTCCAATTCTCAATCCTCCGCAGATGCCTCTCAAACACAGGGTTAATCACCACCTCGTCCGACTCCGGCACCTGCAGCAGCGTATCCGTGTCCTCATACCCCCAATTCAGACTCAGCGTCGTCGTGAACGGCACGAAGAAGTTGTCAAACAGGTACTCGCGCGGGTTGTAGTCGCGGCACAGCTTCTCGCGCATCGCGGGGAAGGGCACGTGGTCGATCCAGGCCGGGTGCTCCGTGAAGAGCTGCGAGGGCCGCGGGCGCACCCAGTCGGGCAGCCGCTCAAAGTTCTCCTGGGTGGGCGAGATCTGCCAGCGCATGATGAGGAACATGATGTACAGCACGGCGACGCGCTGCGGCAGCGCCGAGAGGTCCGGGAAGGTGGCCAGGATGTCGGTGAAGACCTTGGACAGCGGGTGCGAGTACTTGCTGTTGGCCGGGTTGAGCAGCGAGAGGACTGAGGGGTAGCGCGGCCCGATGACCTCGTGCGCGGAGAGGCCGTCGGCGGCGCGCTGGCGGCGCTCGTGCAGGAAGTCGAGGAGGAGCGAGTCAAGCGGGCAAGTGGGGCCGCAGTTCTTCACCTCGGCGGAGTAGCTCGCGAGGGCGCGGGAGGGCTCGGACGGCGCGGAGGACGGGGTGGACTGCGCGGGGCCGTAGTCCATCTGGGAGGAGCGCGGGGTGTGGACGGTGGCGCTGGCGTTGGCGTTGTTGGCGTTGTTCGCGGAGGTGGAGGGGCCGGAGAGGGAGGGGCTGCGGGAGTGGGAGACGGGGCCGACGCCGG